GATCCGAACCCTCGGCGGGAGCGCTGCCGCGCTCCTAAGCGGCGCACTGTAGCAGTGCGCCACCGGGCCGGCCCGCCTTTTTACTTTCTTATGGAATCTTTTGATTAACAAAAGTTCTCAGGTTTAACATAGTCAAATTTATCAATATTTTTATGGTTAATGCATTTGCTGGCTTGTAAAAGAAATCTGTGGTTAAAAAAAAAAAATTCTAAAAATAAATTCAAAACATTCTCCTGAATTTTTATCTTGAAGTTTTTGTTTGATCTTTCATATTTATGTCTTTAATCCACAAGAAATTCATTTTTGTGTATCATGTGAGATAAGGATCTGATTTCACTTTTTCCCATGTAGCTTACCAGTTGTTCATTTATTAAATAGGCCATCCTTTGCTCAGTGGTGTGGAATGTCACCTCTATCAAATATCAAATTTCTGTGTATGCATGTGTCTGTATCTTAACTCTTTCTATTCCTTGAAAACTTTGATGGAATTTTGACTCAAATCATGGTGAATCTATAGATCAGTTTTGGGAGAATTGACATCATTATAGTTTTGAGTCTTTGAATTCTTATTTTCCATATTTATTAATATTATTCTGAATGTACACACAAATTTCAAGAGCAGAGCAGATTATTATTATTTACATAAAATACAGCAGATAATAACCATGTGGCTCCCTTGTGTGCCAGTTCTTACCTCTGGGGCAATGCCCTGAGAGTTGGCTAAATAAAACCCCACAACATAAGGAGTCTGTATTGCAATTAAGGAACCCACAAAAAATTTATTCATGTGTTATATAGAGGAAAGAGGCAGATGCTTTCTTCGTCCCTCCCACCCCCACTTCTGAAAGAGTCTCCTTGGAAACCTAAAGAGAAGGATCCAGGGTTCTTTCTCTCCCTGCGGAATGTAAATAAGTCACTCCAGTGGAAAGCCCAGAATCTCCAGCTCCACAGAGGAAGTCTTCCTGGTCCAGGCTCTTATTCTCTCCCACCCCTACCTTGGAATGTAAACACATTACCTCCAGAAGGTAAATCTTTTTGGAGTTTTCTCACTATTTAAATTAGTCATAAATTACTTTCCAAGACTTGCATTTAGCCCAGGTCCCAAGTTTTAGTAAAATTTGTCCAGAAGGGCCTAACAGTGCAAAAACACATAAATAGTTTCTTGGCTGCCCCCACAGTCTTTTTATCCATAAACATGGTATCTCTCAACATATTTAAAGTCTTTTAAGATGTTTTTCCATAAAATTTCATTCAGGTCTCATTTGCCTTTGTAAAAATTTATTATTCTGATTTTCACATTTTAAATATCTTTAAAATTTATGTTTTCTTACTGAGTTTTCTATATTGATTTTGTTCTAGCAGCATTGCTCAAGTCTCATTAATTATAATGGGATATATTTCAGATTCTTTGAGGTTTTCTGCAAATAATGTTTGCATTATTTATTATTGTTTCTTCCTTTTGGGATTTTATGAATTTTCTTTTTTTCCTTGTCTTACTGCTTTAGCTAGGAACACTCAGTACAGTGTTAACTAGAAGTGGTGATAGCAGGCATCACCGTCTTTCTCCTGATTTTAAAGAATATACCTCTGATATTTCACCACTAATAATCTTTGCTGTAAGTTTTTAGTAAATACTTTCTATCAGGCTAAGGAGGTTACCTTCTGCACTTATTTTGCTAATCATTTTTTATTAAGAATTGCTATTGGAACTATGAAAGAATAAAATTGCAACAATTTTAAAGATCTCAGTTGGCTTTATTGAGATTCTAGAATGGGGCAATATATTATTCCATAAAATAGAATAAGTGTTGAGAAGGATGAAGAGGGTAGAAATGAAGAACAAAAAGCAGATTGGTCATTTCATAGTTACTTCCTTGTAAGGTTGGGGACAGGAAGACAAAATAATAGAAAAAAATCACTGACTAGTTAACATCAGGTTACTTCATGCTGTCTCTTTTGTGGTAAGAGTTAAAGGAGAGGGAACTTTATCATACCTACTGAAAATTAAAACTGGCCTGTTTGGGAAATTAATTTCCCAGACTTCTAGGAAGTTCAGACCACAACCTAAGTGACATGGAACTTAGCAGGGGTGACTCTATTTTGATTAAAAACAAAAATTTTTTTTCATTGAAACATAATTGAATAAATTAATAAGCTGGTGTAGTGCATTACATTTATAGACTTTTTCTAATATTAAACCAGTGCTACATTTCTGGGTTAAGCATAAATTGCTCATATATTATCTTCTAAATAATAACATCATAGTATAGGTAACATTGATGTAGCAGATATGGGAAAATTGTAAGTCCTGCTGGCTGGATCTGGGTTCTTGGTGTTTCGAACAAAGAATTGGACGAGACACGCCAGAAATGAAAAGGAAAGGCAGTTTTATTTAGCAAAGGAGGAGAGACGAGTGCACTCCAGAGAAAATAGAGTGGACTCCAGCGAGAGAGGAGAGTGCTCAGGAGCCCCGACGGTTACATTCCTGGCCTTTTAAGTCCTCTGAGCTGGATTTTTGCCATTTGGTCATTGGTTGAGCCCTGAACGTAATCTCTGTCGTACTGGTTAAAGAGATTGGCACCTTAGCTGGTGGAAACTCATTGGTCTAACTGAATGGCGCCCACAGTGGTGGGGGGCTCCCTGTCTGGAGTTGTCTTTGTCTCCTGTGGTCGCTTCTGTGCATGTGTGTGCCTGTTTAGGGAACCGGTTTGTTCCATTTGCAAATACCAGCTTTTCCTTTTCCCTCTTTTCTCTCTCTAGCTTCCTGCCTCAATATCAGTTCTAATAGCACCGTTCTATGTGCTTTACATATCTTAGATTATTTAATAATCATCGTAGTCCCAAGAGTTAGGTATTACCATTATTATTATCATTATTCTCATTTTACAAATGGTGAGACTGAGCATTGAGAAGTTAAGTACACTTGCTCAAGGTCATAGAGATAGAAAGTGGTGGAGCTAAAATGTTGTCACAAGGAGTCTAGCTCCTGACTTCATGCATATCCACTTTATATATTACTAGAACTGATTTGCTAATTTCTTTAGGATCTTTACCTTTGTTTTCATGAATGAGACTGGCTTGTAATTTTTTTCTCTTACCTTTCTGGTCTTGGGTAGCATTGTCTCTGTTTCTGTTCTGTTGATAAGGTTGTGTGAGAGAAATGCTCTGTTCCTTCAAACAATGGAAGAATCACCTGTAAAACCATCTGGGTCTAGAGGTTCTCCCTCACCACTGGGAGGATGGGGAAATTTTGTTAACTATTGGTTCAGTTACTTTAATTTAATAGGGCTTTTTTTAGGCATCATTTCTCTTAAAACAGTTTTGATAAATTTTATTTTTCTGAGAATTTGTTCATTTCATAAATTAACAAATTTATTGGCACAGAGTTCATCATATTTTCTTTTTTGATCTGTTCTAGATTTTTAGTTATAGCTTCTATTTCTTTCCTATTATTATTCCTTTGTGCCTTTATGCTTGTTCCCTTGATTGATCTCACCAGATATCTATTTTATTATTTTTCTCAAAGAACCAACTTTTGGCTTTGTCGACACTCATTATTGCCTCATTTCTATTTCCTTGATTTAGGAGCTTATCTTCGTTAACCTCTTCCTTATACGGGAAGGGAGCGTTATTTTGCTGGTCTCTTTCTAAGTTCTTAAGTAGAACCTCAGTGAATTTTTAACCTTTTTTTCCTCTAAGTGCAAATAATTCAGGCTGTAAATTCCCCCCTAAGTATAGCTTTTACTGTATCCCCAAATTTTAATATATACTAACTTTTTTTTCCCCTTGTATTTTTCATTTTTTTTAGTTTTAAATATTTTAATATCCTTTAGGATTTTTCTCATTGACCAATGAGTTATTTATAAGTATGTTTTTAAAATTTCAATGCGTAGAGTTTTATCTTTTATTATTGATTTCTAATTTAATTGCAGTGTTATTAAAGAACTTGATCTATATATCTGCTCTTTGAAATCTACTGAGACTTGCATTATAGCCTAGACTGTTCCATTGGTAAACTCTGTCAATTTTTGTTTATATAAAGCCTCATACTTGAAATTTTTCTGCATATATAATTTTAATTATTTTCTCATCTCTGAAAATATTTTCCCCTGTTTCTATTTCTATTGTTACTTCTTTGATCTGTTCTAAGTCTAATTATCTTCTATTTTTCCTTTTTTTTTTTTTTTTTAAGGATAGGGAATATGTGATTTGTCTTTTGGTTCTCTGATTTCTTTAAAGGTCTTTTATTTATCTTTTGTGTTATTCAGTTTCATTTTTCTAACATTTCTGTGTTTGTGTTTCTCTTTATCTTTCTTGCTTTGTAAATGTAGAGCTTCCTGTACTGGTGGATCCATGTCTTTAATTTTAACACATTTTTCTCATTTCTAAATATTCTGTAAAGTTCTTCCATAAATCTACTTGGTTGTTTTTAATAGTCTTTTGTTATTTTCCTGTTTTTATGATTTCCTCTTTTGTTTCATACACAACAATTTTATGTCAACATCTGATTGTTCTTATACCCAAATACCTTTGGTGTTTATTATTTATTGTTTCTGTTCTTTGATTATGGTGGTTTGTTCTTTGGGCATTTGGGAATCTGTGGTTGTGAGCTCATATGTGTGCTCTTAATGTGTGACAAAACCAGATTTCTTGGAAGTTCTTTCCCCCAAAGAAGATTTCCATTTCCTTTTGGTGAGAGGCAGGTGGTTGTATTGACCTGAGTCCTCTTTAGCCCCCTCTAAGTTCCTCCCTTTTATCAGGAGTCTCAGGTTTAGTATTTCTCCTTGTTTCTGGCCTAAGGCTTTTTAGTCTCTACATCAAGGTCAATGCTTGTTTTTTATCATTTGTAATCATTCAGTGTTATAAAAAAATATTTTACAAATATTTTTAAGTTTAACAAAATCTTTCTTTTAACTGTCATATCTTACATTCCTGTATTTTTTACTCATTTGTTGGGAATTAAAGTACTAGAAGTGTAAATCAGCTGTTCCCTTACATTTAACATGTTAGCAAGAGGAATCGAGAACATAAATAGGGCACCATGCCCTTAATATCTGTTCAAAAGTAGTTTATTTCCTTTAATTTTGTCCTGAAGTAAATAATTTTGGCTCTTCTTGACTTAATGATAGCAACTTTGATGGCCAAAGTTGGTCTCTAGGTTGCAGATTGGTAACTTATATTCTTTTTACAAAACTGTAGGAACTAGTCCAGGCTAGTGAGCGATTAAAAAACCAATCCAAAGAGCTGAAAGACGCACACTGTCAGAGGAAACTGGCCATGCAGGAGTTCATGGAGATCAATGAGCGGCTAACAGAATTGCACACCCAAAAACAGAAACTTGCTCGCCATGTCCGAGATAAGGAAGAAGAGGCGGACCTGGTGATGCAAAAAGTTGAAAGCTTAAGGCAAGAGCTGCGCAGAACAGAAAGAGCCAGAAAAGAGGTTAGTAGTCAGGCAAATTTTGTAGTGCCCGTGGGGTAGTGACTAAAGCTGCTTTTTGAGACTAGTGAAACAATATGTATTTCATTCTTTAATTCTCGAAAAAAAGTTATTTTTATAGTTTGTTAATATTATTTAATATGAATTTCAACATTTGATTTATCCTCCTATTATAAGGTAAATTCACATGGGGAAAATGTTTTCTTTGAAAAAAATTATAACCACGGATCTGCTTTTTTGTTTTAAAGCTGGAAGTTCATACAGAAGCTCTAGCTGCTGAAGCATCTAAGGACAGGAAACTGCGTGAACAGAGCGAACACTATTCTAAGCAACTAGAAAATGAATTGGAGGGACTGAAGGTATGTTTTGATTTCACACTTAGGAAGCTTAATTAATTTTCTTCTCTTCAGGCTTGATGGGAACGTTAGTTTAAATCCTCTCCAGTGTAGAATGAAAACTGGCTGTTCTGCAAACCTACTATTCTTTCTTTATTTTTTTTTTTTGGCAGATAGCCTGTATGGGGAAAACCTACTATTCCTAATTCTCATTCTTATTAGTAGGAAGCTGATACAGATTTCCTAATCATTCTGAAGAAAAGGGAGGACCACATTTAGTGGGGAGTAGGAATCTACCAGGAAGGAGTTAGGATAGTTATGAAGGACTGACTGGACAAGATGTACTGATCTCTGCATGGGAGTCATGGTTGGATATCCAGACCCTATATCTATCTTGTGAATGACTCAGGAAAGGCTCAGGAGGTAGCCTTGCCAACACTGTGTTGGTCGGGATGAGATGAATAACGGGCATGGGCTAGCACATTGCAGCATAAGTTGCTTTGCATGGGAAATACTCGGGCCGTCTCTGGAATCAGACTACCTAGTTTTAACTTCTAGCTTCATAAATTACTAGCTTTGTGACACTGGACTAAAGTTAATGTCTTTATTATCTTCCTGTTCTCATCTATAAAGCCCTATTTCATGTCAGGAGTATACACATGCATTTGTAAGTTGACATAAGTGTGCAGTAACTATTAATATAATAATGTTATGTATGTCAAGGTGAGTGAATTAGGATTAAATTGCCTTCATATTTCCACAACACTAAATAATAGTCTGAATGTAGCGTCTGCCTTTTCTTGACTCTAAACTTTGCCCATCTTGTTTCCTCTGCTTTGCCTGTCAGCCCCTGTCGCACTTACTCCTTGTACAGTCATGCCTAGTCTAGTGTCTTATTCACCCCCAAAATATGAGAATCAACATAAATGTCATCCTAGGAAGCCTGGGTACCCTTTTTGCACTGTTTTAGAATTCTGTTAATATATGTAGCATAGTAATTATTATCACTATTACTTTATTATTACTTATTGTAATCATTTATTCGCAAATCTGTCACCTCACCTAAGCTGTGACCTAGCTTATTGAAAACATGGATGGTGTATTGGTCCATTTCTGTTGCTTGTAATAAAATATTTGAAACTGGGTGGTTTATAAAGAAAGCAAAATGTATTGTTTGTGGCTTCTGAAGCTGGGAAATCCAAAGTCCATCTGGTGGTGGTAACAGTGACCAAGGGGTCTCACATTGCAAGATGGCAGGAGTAGAGAGACAGACTCTCCTCTTTTTTTAAAGCCCTCAGAACCATGCTCCTGACCACCATTTTTAATCCATTCACTACTGCATGGTCTTGAAATCTAATCACCTCTTCAAGGTTCCACCTTTCAATTACCATAATAGGATTTCCCACCTTCAGAAGTCACAGTGTTTCTAATACATAAAACTTGGGGGGGGTACAATTTAAGCTTCATTGAGTTTTGAGGGGGACATAATTCAGTTCATTACAGCCAGGTATACAGTAGTCCTCCCCTTATCCGAGGGGGATACATTCCAAGACCCCCAGTGGATGCCTGAAGCTGCGGATAGCACTGAATGCAATTGCTGTCAGTTGGGACACGTTTCCATTCATGTCTTCAACTCACTAATGCCTTTTCTATCTTAAATAAGCACTTAACACCCACTATGGCTGTAACTTTTGTAATTGGAGGTGTGATAGCAAAGCTAGCACAAATTTCTTTTTCCTTCTTCACAGTTGCATGGATAGAAGATTTGTTCTTACAGTAGACTTTAGCAACCTCAGTATATGATTATTTTCTTATTAAGTTGAGAACTTTCACCTTTTCACTTAAAGGAATCATTTTATGACTTTTCTTCGGTGTATTCGAAGAAATTGCCAGCCTCACTATTCCTGCACTTTGGGGCCATTCTTAAGTAAAATAAGGGTTATTTGAACACAAGCGTTGTGATGCTGCTGCAGCCGATCTGGTAACTAATACAGCTGCTAAATTACTAACAGGCAAGTGGTGTATGCAGCTTGGATATGCTGGACAAAGAGATGGTTCAAGTCCCAGGTGGGATGGATCAGGTTATTTGAACACAAGCGTTGTGATGCTGCTGCAGCCGATCTGGTAACTAATACAGCTGCTTAATTACTAACAGGCAAGTGGTGTATGCAGCTTGGATATGCTGGACAAAGAGATGGTTCAAGTCCCAGGTGGGATGGATCAGCTGGTGTGAGATTTCATTGCACTACCCAGAATGGCACGCAATTTAAAACTTATGAATTATTTATTTCTGGAATTTTCCATTTAATATTTTTAGACCAGTGGTTGACTATGGGTTAACAAAACCGTGGAAAATGAAACCATGGATAAGGGGAGACTACTATATTATTAATATTTAGTGCTTGTTTAATAAATGTGTTAATTGAATCATGTAGTAGGATTGGTCTGAACTTCTCTAATATTGAATATCATTGGTTGCAAGTAAGTTTTCTCTAATGATTGAATATCATTGGTTGCAAGTAAGGTTTCTATGCTATAGAGATATGAACTCTTGATTTTATTTCTTGTTTTTGTTTTGGGGTTTGTTTGTTTTGGTTCATTATGAATGCACAGGCTTGGTCAGCTTTACAAAGTAGAGATGTGTCTTTTTATATACATCTGTGTCTCTAGAGCAGGATTAGTATGTAGAAGTCATTACATTACTGGCTCAAATCCTTTTCAGTCTAGTCAGGGCCTGCTTTGTCATTGGATAGTAAGAATGAATTATAAAGCGCAAACTGGAAGTTTTCATTTGAGGAAATTGAGACTCGGAGGAGTTAAGGATTTTGTACTCCATCATAAGTGATAAGAGTACAGTTTAAACCCAGGTTTCCTAACTATCAGTACTATTTTCTGTCTAGCAGTTTGCTTTTAATTTTTTTTCTTTAGTAAGCACTTCTGCATTGGAAACTCTGAATTACTGTATTTATCTATTTGTCAAACACTCATAATCTCTGTTGTCATTTATAAATTTGAGATAATAGTAGAACTACCCAGTAATTAAGTTAATGCATTTAAAGTTCTTTGACCAGGGCCTGGCACATGGTAAAGGCTTAGTAAGTGTTCTTTATGATTATTAATATACTGTGATTTCCTTAGGATATTTTCTAAAAGTGGGATTTCTTGGTCAAAAAATATATACATACTAATTTTGAAATCTGTGTCAACCCATTTAAAGATAGTAGGAATCTTCATTAAGAATACTTTTCAACAGACTTAAAAGGAGAAGTAGAAAGTCCTATGATAAAAGCTAGAGACCTCAATATCCCACTTCCAATAATGGATAGAACATATAGACAGAAGATCAATAAGAATATTGAGGTTTTGAACAGCACTATAACCAACTAGATCTAACAGATATATTTAGAACTTTCCACTGAACAAAAATAGAATGCACATTCTTTTCAAGTGCACATGGCAAATTCTCCAGGGTAGACCTATGTTAGATCACAAGACTCAGTAAATGTAAAAAGATTGAAATCACACAAAGTATCTTCTCCAACTACAAAGGAATGGAGGTAGAAATCAATAACAAGGAAAACTGGGATGTTCAAAAATATGTGGAAATTAAACAACACAGTCTTTAACCACCAATGGGTCAAAGAAGTAATCACAAGGAAAATTAGAAATTACTTAAAGATGATTGAAAATGAAAACACAGCATTCCAAAACTTAACAGGATGCAGTGAAGGCAATGCTCAGAGGGGAATTTATAGCTGAAAATGCCTGTATTAAAAAGGAAGAAAGATCTCGAATTAATAACCTAACTTTTTACCTTCAGGAACTAGACAAAAAAGAGCAAACTAAACCCAAAGATAGCAGAAGTAAGGAAATAATAAAGATTAGAGCAGAGATGTAGAGAGTAGAAAAATAACAGAAAGAATCAATGAAACTAGAATTAGTTCTTTAAGAAGATCAGCAAAACTGACAAGCCTTTAGCTAGACTAACAAAAGAGAGAGAAAAGATGCAATTAACTAAAATTTAAAGTGAATGTGGATACTTTATTACTGACCAACAGAAAACAAAAGAATTTATAAGAGAATACTGTGAACAATTGTATGCCAACAAAGTAGATAACCTAGATAAATGGACAAATTCCTAGAAGCACACAAATAACCTAAAGTCACTCAAGGCAAAATAGAAAATCTCAACAGGCCTATAACAAGTAAAGAGATTAAATCGGTAATCAAACACCTTCCAACAAATAAAGTTCAGGACCAGACGGCTTCACTGGTGAATTGAATAACCATTTAAGGAAGAATTAACACCAGTCCTTTCAAACTCTTTCAAAAATAGGAGAGGAGAGAACACTTCCAAATTCATTCTATGAGGTCAGTATTACCCTGAATACCAAAGCTAGATAAAAACATCACAAGAAAACTATAGACCAGCATTCCTTATGAATACAGGTGCACAAATCCTTAACAAAATCCTAGCAAACTGTTCCAAAAGCATATTACAAGGATTATACACCATGACCAAGTGGGGTATACCCTGAATGCAAGAGTGGTTGAACATAAGAAAATCAGTTAATGTAATTCATCATGTTAATAGAACCAAAGGAAAGAAAACACGTGACCATCTTTATTGATGCATAAAAGTCATTTTTCAAAATCTAACATTTTTTCATGATAAAAACTCTTAGAAAACTAGGAATAAAAGGGAAAATCCTCAACATGATAAAAGGCATTTATGAAAAACCCACAGCTAACATTATACTCAATGGTGAAGGATGGAAAGCTTTCCCCTTAAGATCAGTAATGAGGCAGGATGCACATTTTCACCATTGCTATTCACTATTACTGGAGATGCTAGCCTGAGCAATTACACAAGGAAAAGAAATAAAAGGCATCCAGATTGGAAAGGAAGAAGTAAAACTACCTCTATTCACAAATGATATGATCCTAAGGGGGCTGGCCTGTGGCTCACTCGGGAGAGTGTGGTGCTGATAACACCAAGGCCACGGGTTCGGATCCCATATAGG